TTACTAAAAATTGATTGTGTCTTCAGACAATATTGTGTTCCTTGGTAACATAATGCCTGTGAGATATAAAGCAACTGATTTGCCATTTTAAGAAGGAATGTCCTGCCAATAAATACTTGTGATCACTCGCATTTATTTCATTGTCAATGAGTGGACTGAGCAATTTCCATTCCCATATATATATATATTTCTATTTTGGTTAAGTGCACATGTCACCAGCATAAGCTATAGTATCCTTTTGAGTTGCAACAGCAAGATCTTACTTTTCCTCCTAATCCACTAAGATGCTATAGTTTCATAGCAAACATACGTGTTAACTTGACTTGAGTATGATTATTTTGGAAGCGTTGAATGGGACTTGCATCATTTTCAAAATAAACAAATTCACAATGCGGTTCTTTGCAGATAGAAAGATCGCATCAGCTTTTATCTATAATTATTAGTATCTACATATATTTTTTTTTTATATTTTGTTTTTCAAAAATCAACTATTCACACTTTCAATATAAACTGCTCATATACATATATATATATATATATATATATATATATATATATCAATGCGTAATTAGTAGGTGCTATAAACGGCTAGCTTAATAGAACTTTTTACTTTATTCGTTTAGAGATAAAAATTTGTACAATCGCCGATGTGTACGTACATTAGGTGAGTTTATTTTTATTTATTTTTTTTAATACTTGCACATTAAGATTTATTCTTATAAACAAGTTTTGTTAGGGTAATTTTAGTTAACCACATCAACTTTAAAAAGAAAAAATAATAATAATTAAATAAATACGAACTGGTTGCAATTATTGGCAATGTTAAGGGATGCTTTTGAACTTTATCCATAAGATTATTGTATACTGATCATGGTCTTTTAGCACATCTATGTCTATGTACGTACGTATGCATATATAACTTGCTTGGCGGGTAAAAAATGCTGAATGAGCAATGATGCTGCAATGTATGATGTCATGAAGTCGGATGCGAGAAGGTCAAGATCAAAATGAGATCACACTGTGAGGTTTATCCTTTGTGGTCACTTTAAGGTCGCGACCTTTATTGTTGGTTTCATATTATTATTATTATTATTATTATTATTATTATTATTATTATTTGCCTATAATGATCTTTTCATATTTAATTAAAGTAGTCATTATAACTTTACATACTTTATGTATATATATATATACATATATATATATTCGAAGTGCTTGTAATTACTTTGGTAATATTTATCACAAACTTGAAAACATATGTTCATATATATTAGGTTGGAGGGAAAATTCTGTCGTATTTTAAATAGGCACGTAATTTTTCTTGTAAATTAAAAAAGACATCTGGCTAGTGAGTCATTCGGATTTTTTTTTTTTTTGTTCTTTTACCTGCTGTCTTTTTATACCGTTCATCATTAACTTGTGGCATTTAAAGTGAAAAACATGTTAGTAGATAAAATGCATGTATGACACTGCATTTTATAAGAATTCCAAAAAGGAAGCAAAGCATCGATTGCATGTAAAAATTTATGTGCGTTTTTTGAAATAGGTATTGTAAATGTTCGTACTTGTCAAAGATGGTTTAGTAAATTTTGTTCCCGGAATTTGAGCCTTCAGGAAAAGTGATCGATCTGGACGATCATCCAAGACCGATAATGATGTTTTGCGATCCATATTGGAAAATAATCCACATTGAATAAGTCGAGAAATTGCAGAAGAGTTAGGCATTCATCATACAACAACAAATAACGGCGCATATATATTTGATGAATATTAAACACGTATTTTTATAAATGAATTCAAATTCAAATATATTCTTTAATATACAACAGAACTTGCCCTCCAACCTATTATATATATGCACATCTTTGTTTCTAATAATATATATATATATATATATATATATATATATATATATGTGTGTGTGTGTGTGCGTGTGTGTATACATACATAAGTTCCAATTTCTTCTATTGTACTTCTCTTTGCAGTACCATTACCATTATTGGATATAAGGGACCAAATGCTTTTTTTGGTACAATTCATGATATCATTGTGCACTAAATTATGTTATTAACTAAAGCCCAAAACTCTTCTCGGCTCCTTGCTGTGTGGATGATTTCGCGTGCAGTTCTCAGCCCTGTCCAATTTCGAATATTATGCAACCACGACATTTGTTTGCACTTTCCCTATTAAGAAGTTCATATCTTTCGCCGTATACCCTGTCTTTCACAGTAACAACGTCGTTTTCCCTTTTTAGTTTTATTCTTCTTAGCTATTTTTAGAATTCAAAGGCTTTCAGCCGATTCATTTTATTACTTTTTAATGTCCACTATTCTAGGCCATAGCAGAGCACCGACCATATAAAGCATTTCATGAAACGTAGGCGAAGAGATGAGCTATGTGTAATTTGCATCGGACCATATGCTCAACTTTATATGCATCTAGTTTACTTGTATAGATCAAAATATTAAAAGCAACAATGATGACCAATTATAAAGAGTCTCTTGTTGTTTCGATAACCTATAAGTTATATATAACTTATCCCCTCCACACAAAATCTTCAATTATAAACTATTTAATTATAATACATCAGAGAAGTATAAATATTTATATATGTGTATGTGTTTGAAGGGTAACTAAATTACTTAACATAAGAGCACGGAAAAGTAAATGTAATAATATAACGAATCTATTGTGTAAAGTGTATAATTTTTAAAAGTTTTCAAATTGCTGGCAGACTTTTAAAGTATTGCAAACGATGATTATTCAAATTAATTTGACGAGAAAAAAAAATGAAGAAAGTACTTAAAGTCACGCTTGATAATCCAGACAAAGTTTCAAGTTCATTTATGCGATTTCAATAGACAAACATGCTTGGCCAAATCAATTTTATTATGCATGCTAATGAAGAGAATACACATATAACGGGGTCTCAGATGCACTTCCCTATGCGTTACAAATGCTAATCTACCTAACAAATCTATCTTGTTAAACAATGAATGAATTCCACGTTCAATAGAAATGCATTACATCTCTCTCAGCAACTATTAAACATAATGCACAACATACAGTTTTCCCATTGGTTACGTTTCGGAGTTCATCTTCTATAAGATTCGTATTGGAAAGACGTTGAACTACTAAGGTGTTGTTGCGTACAATCACTAAAGTCATCTAACTATAGGAAATGAATGCATTTTATTATGGACTTTGTTCTTAGGCGCCTCATTCGCCTGGTGAAGCCGTATCTACGAAGATATGATGAGGAGACACTATTGCTTATCGGCCATTATATTGTGCAAAGATTTGCCAGACATCATTGTGTAGAATATCTATGTACTTTAAAATTATTTTCCAAAATTTGGTAATTAACTGACTGAATTTCCGAATTTGCTTAAATGCAACCAGTTACGTAATTCAACAAATTTGAACTTTAAATACTTCTCAATTCGGGAAATTATTGAATGCCAGAGACTCTTTCACAGATTTTCTTAAATTAATCTGTTCCCTATAAGTCAGTCCATACAAATGTTCAATGGGAATTCCTATATCCAATGACAAATGTGATTACACGAGGATTTACTTAAGCCATTAAATTGCCGTGCATATGAGAAAATGTAGTGTATATGAGATCATACGTCCATACTTTTCAATTAATCTGCTGCTTATCTGAAAGTGACTTGGGAAAGTTTTTAAAAATCTTCCCACAAAAAACGCTTCGAAGAACTTAAGCCGCCTTGCTGCTAGGATAAACCGAAGGCGAAGCAAATAATTGACTGGCTGTTGCGAAGAAGGCGTAGCTTTCGGCCAGTGTTCCTCTCAGAATCCTTCCTACCTTGCTCCTTGCACTTTGCTCCTACAGTCTACACGTCTGGAGGAGGCACTCAACCGCTCCGAAATTGTCCATGGATTGGTATCGAACAAGTCGATGTTCGCAGATGCAAGTCTCGGAGCAGTTTGACCATGCTTGGTCACAGCTGCAGACAGCGGTCAAAGGAGAAAAAATATTTGCGCCGCTTCTGAGGAGAACTCGACAGATCGTTGCCATACCAACCGCTACTGAGCGGGCTAAGAGAAATTTTGTCTGTGCCATTTGCAATAATGTGATGAAGTAAGTAAGTCGTATTATAAAAGAAACATCCCGGATATCATCTTAAAATCATGAAATTGAATTGATCTGATCAACTGCAAGCTCACATAAATAATAATCAGAATAAATAATGAGTTACACGACCTTCAATTGATTTTAAAAGTTAATGTTCGTTTATTTCAATTATTTACATACAGTGCCGAACAACTTTGAGAGCTGTTACAACACACAAAAAAAAAAAAAAAAAAAAAAAGAGAAAGGAACCCATGACATCCTTTCAATTTTTGGCGAATGAATGAATCTGGATGTAAGCTATGAAAACTAATTTTCTTCCTTAAATCAAATTTATTGTCGTACATTGTTGTTAATTTTAAAACTTTTTCTTAAAAAAGAAAGACCAATTATTTCTCTAATAAAATTATATTATACATATATATAAACAAAAAAACAAAAGGGAGATAGCACTTTTATTTTGAATAGAAGATGACTTGAAATGAAACGGCACTGCATGTGCTTGCATTCGTATATAGGATGTAGTCTTAAAGTAAAGTAAAATTTTAATTCATTTTTATAAATCGCTGTTAACTGAAAGTGTGCGCGAATTTGTTTGCGAATTAATTTGTTACCGCGACACCACTTCCCGTTCCCACCATTTCACTACAGTAGTAGCATTGGATTTAATAACAATAACTCACTTATTTTTATGGGCCAATAGTCGCTTTAATAATTCAACCGATTTCATATTCTGGCATTGTGTTAAGATAATTTACATAGTTATATGTATTGTATAAAAGAATATCAATATATATTAGTTGTTATTTTTTTTTTTTTGTTTTTGTTTTTTTTTTTTTTTTTTTTTTTTTTTTTTTTTTTTTTTTTTTTTTT